ATAAATATTATTATATATATAAATATATTTAAATAATATATAAATAATTTTTATATCTATAATTCAAATCGCGTATAATAATACAATTTATTATTACTGTTACATAGATTTACTGGTAGATTGAACAATAGTTTTGCACGAATATGAGTTTAGTTTGAAACGATAATGACCTAATGTATAAGGTCGAAACATTGTATGTTGTTATTTAAATTGTATTATGTTTCAATATTATAACAAGCAACTAACAGACTCGAAGCCCTTGATTTACGGCTTTAATAATACATTTTTCGTAAAATATTTTTCTAACAAAAGATAAAATGTCAACACTTATGACATCAATAATAGTAGAGCAATATAAGTGATTTACATATTTATACAAAGAAAATTTTATGTACAAGCAAAAAATTTTAATTCAATTTGTAGCAATTTTATAAATGCGTCTATTTGAGCATCCTTGAGAAACATAAATTCATACATGTAATTATGTAATACAATAAAATATAATTACAAAATAAAAATATAAAAGATGTAAAAGGTATTATAATATAACAAGAAAAATATAATATAACAGAAAAGTTTAAATCTTCTTGGAAAAGTTCTCCACAAACAAGCATAGAATAATAGGTATACAAGAAGTAATTTCTCTCGATATTTTTATATACGCGTTTTCAACTTTTTTATTGCAAGTTTGCAAATGATGATGGTAGGTAAACATTGCGGTCGGAGCCATTGGTTCTTTCACGACTTGCTGAAGATGACTAGATCGATGCAGAAGGCAAGATGTTATATACATATGTATTACGTATTCGCGCATACCAATCTCTGTGTGTGGGGAAGCGGAATGAAACTCTGGTAGTAAAAGGCGGAAATCCATGCCAGCGCGATAATGCCGCAAATACATTGCGCAATATCTACTATTTGCTGTCGGATTTTCCTAAATACAACAACTGCCTCTAAGTGTGCCAACAATTGCAATCAATTATGTTTATAGAGATCACAAATAATATTTGTACCAAACAGAGCTTTCGAATAATTTATCATTCCTAGACACAATAATTATTATTAACCTAAATGTATATTTAGTCATATTAAATAATGTGAAAGACGGACAGGTAAAGAATTGGTGACGGTCGTCCCGTTAATATGTCAATAATAATATACTTCGTATAGGTAGGCAATAATATTTTCAATTAAAACATTGCCGTAAAATGTGATGGATGTTGCGCAAACGATTATTTTCTAGCTCGCATATTTTTTCTACTGATTGAAGAATTGGCACAAGAATTATTGCTACTTGTAATTTCAATTTTCAAAGAGGCATAGCGAAACGAAGGTTCATATATTACCTAGTATTTTTCCGCAGGCGTAGATGGTAATTATCTGTGTGCGAGTAGACATATATACACGTGCAGATACCGCGAAAAAAAAAAATACAAAAGCTGTCGGCGTGACGTACACCGTTATGCCTGTCCTCCATTACGAGCTTCGCCTTCGAAAATTGGCACGTATAACTCCGGAAACCATGAGCGAAACGGCGATGACCGTTCTTATGACTATTTTGCGTGCACAATCGTCATGAATTACGTTAATCTCGCCCATTAAATAAATTACTTTAATGAAAAATTGTTCGCTTCGTATTGGGAACGTGATTATTAAATGAGAGCGAATTACAAAATAGCAGACGAACTGCAGTGTGCTCTGTATTTTTAAAATTGCCACAACGTGGAAAAAGTAGAAAAAGGATTAATGCGGCATCATAAAATGATGAATTTGGTTGGGTTACGATTTAAATAATTCATTTGTTGACTCAACTAATAAAATAATTTAAATTCTTACTTTATAAATGCGACAATTGTGAAGGTAGAAACTGCAGATTTATAATGCAAAAAGAGAAACAGATTGTCTGAATTTGTACCGAATCACTACTCAGCTTCTGTTTTCAATTTTCCATGGAATTCCGCACGTCGAACGCATTTCACGGCGATATGCAAGGCCATCGTGATTTTTATTTTTTTTTTTGTATAAATTACGTCGCTGCCGGTCCATGTGTGACGGCAAGATACACTTTTCCTCTGCGCGTCTGTTATATATACACTCTTCATCGTACGTGCGTGCGATAAAACGCGAAAATCCGCCACACATTTACGACAACACATGACTTCCTGTTACAAACTGCGAAAATCACGTTTAGTTGTAGTATAACGAGTACCGCTTTACATACCTTGCTCTTGCTCTTCAACCTGTCAAGAATAGTCATCTCTGATTACGCTGTTTCTTTAACTTCATGGCAAAAATTCTTTAAATTATTCAATAAATCTTTAAAAAAAAAAAAAAACGATGTAAAAGCAAATGAGAGTCAAACGAGAGATATCATCTCAATATTAATATATTCAGAACTCGCTACATTAATATAAGAACATAAACTAAATAATCGTGAACTTAATCGAATTTAAATATTAAATTTAACACGTTTCGGCCTTCTATTGTGGCCCTCCTCAGAAAAGAAAAAATAAAAAAGAGAACGCAATATTATACATTTATATATTACAAAATAGAACTTAAATTAATTTTCTTATTTCATTTCATTGTAATGCTTTCACATTTTCATATATCTTAATTTAAGTTCTATTTTGTAATATATAAATGTATAATGTTGCGTTCCCTTTTTTATTTTTTCTTTTCTGAGGAGGGCCACAATAGAAGGTCGAAACATATTAAATTTAATATTTAAATTCGATTTAGTTCACGATTATTTAGTTTATGTTCTTATATTAATGTAGCGAGTTCTGAATATATTAATATTGAGATGATATCTCTTGTTTGACTCTCATTTGCCTTTACATTGTTTTTTTATTTGTTATATTGAGAGTCCTGTATTTTATACTATTTTTAAATCTTTTTTACTACAAATTTTTATATTTATCAAATTCTTAGTAACGTATATTTATAAAATACAAATTCTGGAGTTATGTCTTATTAAACATTAAAGGTAATAATTAACATTCAAAATGATTGTTTTTAGTTTTGATACAAGCTTTAAGGTATTCCAAGAAGATATCAAAGATAGCCGCGTATCTTTCCATAGATTCTTCCGAACGATTGATAGAATGGTCTTTATAATATTTTAACGTAAAAATTATGATAAACGACATAAGTTTGCAGCTACTTGGATAGATAACAAAATTTTTTTGTCCTCTTGTATTGGTATAATTTGAATTACATTGGTTTATATTATTTGTACTACTTTATTTTTAGTATCACAAAATTAAATTATTACTAACATAAACTTAATTAGAAAGAAAAAGGCACTAGGAATTAAGCGCAGATTATAAATAATAATTATGCTTACATGTTTCGGCTCATTTTTGAGCCTTCTTCAGAGACAATAAAATTACAATTTTTGTATTATATATATTACTAATATTTTATTATCTTAAATTATTATTTTAATATTATTTTTATTATTATTGACATATAATGATAAATTAAGATATTACTATTAATATAATCGTTTCTTTCTTTTTAAGTAGTCTGATGAATATTTAAACAACATTATTTTTAATATTACTTCACTTTTTATAGTTATCAAAATTTCATATCATAAATTGAGAAGTATAACGCGAATATAAAAATTTACGAGCGACCATAGCCCTTCAAACATCATTATTGTAGTACTAAATCTTCCCTTTTAAGGTTATTGCGTTGGCAAAAAGTTTAATGGTTCTCTTCCGCATAAAATTTAGTTTTGCGACTAAACTTTTCATATATCATTATTATACAATTTATAGATGCTATAAAAAAACCTTCAAATATCTGGTTAATAATATACATTAGCGACCGTTCGAACTCGTGAGAGTTGAAAACATTGCATTTAAAGAAAAACGTTAAGATATTTACGTATATTGAAATAAATTATTTGTCTCTCCACGTTTTGGCTAAGATTACGTGAGCTCTATTTACTAACTTTCTACGAACAAAACTGACAACTATAATGCAAGCGGCGTCAGTGAGCATGAAAAATGTAACTTAGCCGATTATAGCCTCAGTACACAAGTTATATTTTGTGT